ATTGGCGGCCCACCGTTGTCGTGTTCCTCGATATCAAAGGTGCATTCGATTCGGTGGATAGACGAGCACTTTGGGACTGTCTACTCAGGAAAGGTGTACCCGAGAAATATGTAAATATTATCCGAGCATTATACGCGCGGAGCTAAGATAGATTGGGGGCTTACGGCAAGCTGTCCTTTCTCTTTAATATCACCAGCGGTGTGAGACAAGGATGACCGCTGTCACCTTTCCTCTTCAACTTCGCTATTAACAAAGTCATGGAAATCGCGTTCACAGGACACGACTTAGAAGGCGTGGATCTGCTCCTAGGAGAACGACTTCTTGACTTGGAGTATGCAGACGATAATACCCTAATCTGTGACAGATCACAAACGTGTCAAGCGGCACTGGACAGATTAGCACTAGCTGTCCGTCACTTCGGGCTTTGCTTCGCACCCTCGAAGTGCAAAGCGTCTCTCAGAGATTGGTCTGGACCGCTTCGTACGCTGACCGTTGGTGGGGATCAGCTAGAAGTCGTTCAAAAATTCAACTACCTGGGAAGTTGTATCCGCGTCCGTGGGATTGAAGATGAAATCACGAATTGTACAGCAAAAGCTCGGGGCGCTTTTGCTAACCTTCGCCACTTGTGGCGCCGGCGCGACATCACTCTCACCCTGAAGGGTAGAGTGTACAATGCAACGATACGTTCGACCATACTGTACGGTTGTGAAACCTGGCCGCTTAAAGCAGCGGACCTGAAGAGGCTAGTTACGTTCGACCACCGGTGCCTTCGTAATTTAGCTCACATATGGTGGGAACACCGTGTGAGCAACGAGCGTGTTCGACGCCTTGTTTATGGCACAGGAAAAGGAAATGAACCGCTCAGCACCGTTGTTTCACGCACCAGGCTCCGATGGCTCGGCCACGTGTTACGCATGCCAGCCCACCGACTCCCGCGACGTGCGTTGTTTGTGCGCCGGAGGTGTGGATGGAAGAAGAAGAGGGGCGGCCAAGTGATGACTTGGTCGAGAGGAATGAAGGCCCTCACTTCGAAGCTGGCCTCGGTTGGAGCGTCTCGGCTCCCTGGTTGGGGTCCGAAAGACGATGAACACGTTTGGTTGGACACACTTGCTAATATGGCTAGGAGCCGACCTCAGTGGCGCTCGTGCTGTGAGTTTCTTTGTCCCACCCCATCTTTCTTATCCTCCCCTCCAACCACGATCTCATTATTTAGCCTTATATAATTTTGCATAATTTTTTTTTGGGTGCACAGCAGTCGGCTGGTAGCTTACCGGAACGATGCCCATCCGTTACCGGTAGTTCGGTCGGCTTGCACCAGTTGCATTTTTTCTCCTTTTTTCTATGTATCGCGGCACAGTAGCTGAGGTGTTCCCCACCTCTAACTAACTTGTATGATGATGATGATGAACCATTGATCCGTATGCTGTAATCAGTACATGGAGAGTGTCACCCAATATTGCGCAAAGGACCGCAAAAGTATGCAAATCAGGAGAAGGATGATAAGGTTTAATCTCCTTGCAATGGGTCCATTTCTTTGGCAAGGTTGGAAAGCGGTGCGATCGGCAGCAACCACTGATAAAACTCATTGGCAACGTCGGATCGGTGGTCTCAATAAGCGACATGCAGCATGGTTTTTGCTGTGCAGCAACTCGATAACTGGTAAATAATATCTGCGACCAGCGGGGCATTTCATACATGTGCAAGGGACCGAGACACTGAGGGAAGGAGAAACAAATTGCGCCGAATTCGCCTGCGGTTAATTCGCTCGCTGAGCCGAGGCAAAATGCGAGGGTGGAGAAAGTGTGGCAGATGAAATTTTACACTGAATTCCGCGCACAAAACCATCGTAAAGCAAATAACAAACCTGGTGCACAGTAGACCGGGCCATACCTACACATAACTTGTAAGCATAATTCCGATGTGGGGTAGGCATGTTGACCACATTCGGAATAACCATGGAGAAAATGACTATGATGTGTTCCATGAGTTGCAACAATAACGCAACGGGAAGGATGAACCTGCTGATACCTCAGGATCAACCGAACCCTCATCTAGCTAAAATAATGGCAAGTTTGCTGACGACAGCGGAAAGCCGGGACGGACCTACACTGAGTCATGTGCTGCACTGCTCAGTAGAACGCATGTGGAGAGAACACTTGGTGCCTGCATAAATGAACAACACTCCTGCGCTATCACAGTATTACCCGTGGATCCGTAGCGTAATGGTTGGGGCACCCGAACCCCGAGCTCGTCCCAGTTCATGCACAGGTTTAGGCAGCCCTGAAGTACGCCTGTGCAGGACAGAGTCGCTTACGGTCGCATGGTAGAAAGCGCGACTAGAATACACTGTATTGATAGTGCACTGTTCCCCTTCTAGTTTCATCAATGTACGAGGGGAATGGATGCAAGCGTGGTGACAATATCGTAGTATTGACTTAATAGGTCGGAAAAGTGATAGCAACTGCTGGGTACGTATCACGAATCGAAACTTATCGTTGTACTCGCCGTTAGCAATACTTAACAGGTCGTTCGATATACTGAACCGCGTGGCACGGTAACCGTGATTGAGTAAAACTAACGTGCATGGTAGTGGAGGGTAGTTTGCGTTATATCCTAGTTAGCTTACAACTTGTGATGCATTGGTACCGCCCGTCCCCGTTGCCCAGTGGTATAAGCTGCTGGCTAGTTGGCGCAAGCTGTTAGCAGTCAAGATTTCGGTTCTGTTAGGAGGGTTGTCTCCAAACGAATTCATCTTCTTTGTTGATATCAACATTCATTAACTACAGCTATATTTTCCTCCATACCAGCTCGTTACTGATCCTATTCTGAGAAGTGAGACTCATAAACGAAGTGCCTCAGCTCCTTCGGTTGCCTTTTGCTCTGTTTGCTTGAAGATTTGGATTATTGATTCGCCCGGCGAATGTGACGTCCTTCAGCAGGACATCGACCGCCTATCCCGGTGGTCTGTAGAAGTTGACCTACTGACCAACCCTGCCAAGTCCTCGTTGATGAGCCTGGGGAGGGGTTGTACTAGGCGTGCGAACACTCTAACCGGCCACCGGCTGCATCCCATCAGTCCCGTAAAGGATTTAGGCGCACTATCACGCTCTGATCTGAAGTCCGTCGACAACACGAACAGAGTATGTGAACGGACTACGCCTGCTTTGGGCACTGAGACGCAGCTTCTGCAGTTGGTCTGAAGCAATTTCCACCCGTCAGTTCTCTTCCATGATAAGACCGATGCTTGAATACGACTCACCCGCCTATTGTCCGATCACAATAGTTGAGGTGTAGAGACTGGAAAGGGGAGGGCATGTTGCTACCCGGCTCATCCCCAGTTTACGTGGGAGGTCGTACGAGGGCCGATGTAGTAAATTAGGGCTTTATACCCTGTCGTATAGTCGGCTTCGAATTGATCGCATAATGACGCACCACATATTGCACCTGGGCCACTTTCCTATGTTGAAGCTGCTGCTGCACGTTCGAGCACCAAGCAGCACACGCGGGCACCGGTATAAACTAGTGATGCAGTATTGAAGACGCATCGCTCACCCTCTATGCTTCGAGTGTCGGGTGGTGAAATACTGGAAAGAGTTGCCTGAGACAAAAGTCGAGGCGAAATCGGTGTCGGAATTTAGAAGATTCCTTGACGCCCATTTTGCAGACTACAGGGATAAAGAGCGCATCGCACCCGGATAAAATGGAGTGCAACTGCAATATGCTGCTACCGCGCAGGAAGCAGCGACGTGATTCCGCGCATGTGCCCGATCCACCTACGATGGAGCGATACAAATTTTTATCTTCTCGCTCTCTATTCTCAGTAGTTTTTCTTTTTTATTGTACTGTTGCAGAACTCAGTACTTCAGGGACAAGCGTTTATTCGGCAAAGACAGCTAAGCGAAAATTACAGCATGTTTAGCAAGCCAAACTTCTCGATATAAATTGCACGTTCAAGTCCATAACTAACGACCCTTCTGAATCGATGAGATTCTTCCTTTGCTTCAGTTAAATAAACGATGAATCACTCACAGGAATATCATCCAATCCGAGTCCCATAATCAAATTCGTCACGTCCGCCTCCCATTGGCTGTTTGGCTCGCTCGGTTACTCCATATGTTCACTCTGATCTGATACTACCATCACATGTGCTACACTCAAACTCTCCGAACTTTCCCACTAGAAGATATATCTTTCATCAGTGTTTACTTGTCTTCTTACATTCCTTGTTTTGACAATGTGGTTGATTGAAAGACACAAAGAACACAGAAGGTTCCATGCAGGGGACCGAGGGAATGCGCACCACTGACAAGCCCCAATAGTGCGAAATGATCGTCTGGTACCTGTCCGGATTGGTGGTTATCACTATCTGGCTTGTAAGCAGCTAGGATGAACCAGTAAAACTAGATGTCACGGTATTTGTTAACTGGGTGCCTGCAAAGTGGTGAGCGGACAGAGGTACGGCTGTGTGGGTAAACGTAAGAGGAATTTGAAGTTGTCCCTGGTACGCGTCCAAGCACCCAGTCCTTTCAATACATAGCTGAGTAATGTGATGTCAAGAAAATGCAATCCATGAGAATACAGTGTCCGTCGCGAACGCCGAGTGGATGAAAAGTTGTCGGACATCTGTGGTTGGAGCTGCGAGTGATGCGGCTCAACCCACTCATGAACTCTGTGTATGCATAGGCACCCTTGGACTGTTTGCAGTCAATGGGAAGGGCGAATCCAGAGACTGATGCCGTTAACCAGGTGGGCAAACAGGTAAGTGAGTGAACAAGAGAAAGAGATAACCGTACAGGAGGTAAACACAAGTGATGAATAACCAACTCCGCTAACGCTTAGCGCAGAGCAGGCAATCCGTGGCCAGCTCACGATCGACTGGGCTGTCAATGAGGATTCAGCACAAAAGAAAGTAAGAGGTGCCAGGGGAAACTACAAAGATTCAGATGGAGAGAGATCACTTAGAGGAGTAGAGAAGTTGCAATCTTGCGAACCAAACTCACGCTTCTTTGCCAACGTCGTAGACTCCGAGTGATCGCCATCCTCGAATTTTTCTAACCGTTCTTGTACTTAAAACAGAAGAGAAATGATAACATTATGGGGAACGGTAATAAAAACCACAGCTCAATTGCAATGCCAAGGACTCCATGAATGACGAGAATAATAGCATGAAGGAGGTTGTAATATGTTTCCCAGAGAAAAAGCGGCTTTTCATACTTCACCACGATGTTTCGTCGCGGCGCAAACACAAAAGGTTGCATGCGAATTGGGATATTATGGGGTCGTCGAAATCCATGCATGGAAGGGGTATCAAGCACAGGATGTAAGGGTTGCAAGTCAAACATCTGAGCACCTACATCATGGACCCCCTGTAACTCAAGTAAACAGCTGCAAGCTCAAAAGCTGCAAGGAAGTTGCAATGAACAACGTTGCCGCAGTATCAGAAAATAACACCGTCAGAAATGGTAGAGAGAGAAGCGAAAACACAAGGGTTGGATAAAACAGATAAGAAGTATAGAACACAAACGATGTCGGAAATTTAATATCACTGATGCAACCGACCCCTGGGGCTCAACGCAAGAAGGTGGCATGAATTGGCCATTTCAAGTCTACCGGTCACTTTCTTGGTGCCCTCGAGCCAGGTTTACCATCCAATCTCAGGGTGAACGTCAAGGACAACCGATTGTGTTCTTGCTCCGCGTCCTAATCGTGATGAGTCTACAACCCATCACCTGTTGTCTCCCAAGACTGTTCTGAAGGAAATGGGGTCCATGGATCCCCATGGAACTTATGGTGAGAAGGATGCTGGAAGATAGTCTGTCTAAACTTTAACTACCGATCGGTTTGCTTTGAGTGCCGAACAACATAGTGATGTGGATCATGAGGGCATGCAAAGGATACATCACAAGTAAGACCCAACCTTATCAAGATGGAAGTGAGTCGCCAAATTTGGTTGGTATGGCAATTCGGGATATCAGGTTTCATACAGTAGAACAGAGCGGGCACCCCCGTATTCAGACCTCCCCCTCAAGTGGTCATTTATGAAGCGCGAAAACAATCAGGAGTAGTAACTCAAGTCATTTATAGGTATTTTATGGATAAGAAGTTGTTTGCACAAACAGGAGCTATTAAAGGAAAACGAATATGGGACACAGGAGAACGTGGTTGCAATCACTTCTGGCCTTGAATGGATATGTCACAGGATATCATGCAAAGTAATGAACAGTCTTAAGAAGGAAAGAGAAAAGTAATGCACAATTACTTTCGTGGATGAACCTGTTGATAACAGATTTACCAATAAACAGAAAATGGAGTCACTGCGGCCGAATAAGGACTAAGGAGCGGAAAAACATTACCCATTTCTCATGGCAACAAAATTTGGCGGTAGATGGGTTCACATCATGTGGTTGTCCACCTGCAGAGTACCACATTAGTTAAGCAGCTAATTGAACACAAGTAAAAAGGATAAAACCAGGGCACTATTAGCACAAAGCAATCAAGGATTAATGGGAGATGATGGTGATAAAAAGACAGGCATCAGCCATCCGCCGTACCGAGGCTTCGCTGCCACGAAACCACGACCACTCGCATTTAGACTAAAGATATTGCAAGGGTCGCCCGGTTCCCTACGCAGGCTGGAATCCGCGACCTCCGGGTTGCAGGGTAGACGCCTTGTGCTTTCGGTCACGGGCCTACAGAGAATGATGATAGGTTTGAAAGCGGTTTATTGTATGCCAAAATAAGGAGATATTCGAATACAAAGCGACTAAACAAGTGGGACATATCAAAAAGATCAACATCAGCACAAACTCACAAGCTAAGTTTTCGCCACATAGACGGCGATATTCTCGCTCGAACTCCTGCTCGATGCGAGCAAAATGTTTGTGCAGGCGCTGTCGAAATTCACGTGGAAGTACAGACTCTTTTGGTCCAGCATACTCACTATGCAGTTGCCACGTGAGCTGATCGACAGAGTCCGAGTAGGTGCTAATGGCTTGTTGCGCTAACTGTGGCTGCTCGCCGGACAAATCAAGTTCCGGCAACGTGGATGAATGTGCCACAGCAGACATGTAAGAAACTTTTGAATGGAATGCAAAACCTGAAACTAGAAACAGCTAATTCGTGAGATATTATATATTGATGGAAATCCAGAAATAGACAACAAAAGAAGCTTTTATTTTTTGAAGATTTGCAAACTCTCCACATAACCGTCCAGCATAGTAGTGAAAAGTTGACTATCCACTCCTCCAGACGACGGGCAGACTGGATTTTGAGAGACAAATTTGGTGTATATGCGAAATATGGTCTCCAATTCTTCATGAACTGGTGCACATGAGTTATCCGTGTTTAAGACAATTTTGAGCATAGTGGGTGACTCGTAAAAGTGTAAACGATACACATTCGTGGAATAGGAAAACCGAGTGACATCTGGCTCCATCGGCGAGATTTTCGAACAGAAACCCTTCAAGCCAATTATCATTCCACGTAAAAGTTTGAGATCATCCGCAGAGGGAGAAGGCCCTTGCTTAGTCTTAGTCCATTCTCGATAGTACACACATCTACCCGATTTGTCGAATATGTACAAATTGTACACAGTCATTGGCAAGTCTGAAATTCAAAATATCAAGAAACAATACTAATGAGATTTGTTGGAGCACTGGAAGAAATCGACGAAGGTGGAGAAACTGAAACTGAAAAAGAAGTGATACTTTACAAAGTGTGAACCAGGTGGTCTGGTCAAAGTGAAATGTAAAAGTTGAATTTGGGGAACCCGCTGTGTCGTTGGGTTACGACATGCAATCTATATTGAGACCTCGGTTCACCTTCAGGTAAACCTCGGTCATTCCGATCGCGAGGCCCGTATCCGAAATATTTCCAGAGTGAAATGTTGTTATATCGACATAATTTGATCGTCGCTCAGTAGCGGTAGCGTGTGAATTCGCAAATCCGCTAATTAATAAAGCGCTCTAATTGTCTATATTCGTAACAAAGTAAAAAAAATGCACTGGGCACTATGAATAGTTCAAAATTAGGTGGATTCCTCTTATCTAGTTGCACAAAACATATGAGCAATGGATCGCATAAAGTACATTTGACATAACATGTCAAAAACCACAGCAGCCGAACTCGCGGTATGCGGTTACTTAGGAGAGGCAGGAAGTGGGAGGTATGATACGGTAGCGAGTTAGTGAAAAACAGCGCTCATATAATTGGAGTAGAATAGGACGATGAGATATGTGTAGAGATTGATATTAAACACTTAGTCAGCAGTGAATAGGTCAAAGAACTAAACAGATACACAGGCACCTATAACTGCTCGATTATGGTGAAAGGTATTAGGACGTACACGAGTAGGTCGTACGAAGATTCCGTTACCACACAATAATTGAAAGAGAGATGATTCTGTTAGTGAAGGAGGGCGAAAGGTGAACCTAAAGTAGAACGCAAATACCCCTAGTAAACATAAAAGATTAACAATAAGTGGTCAGTAACAACTAGTTATCGTATGAAGATAAGGTGGAGCTGCCGAGACAACTTCCTTGCGTCACTCAGTGTCCCCCGATATGGTTGGTGCAGTAGCGCACAAATTTTTAAGGTAGTCCGGTTAAAGCAGTGGTTCCCAACCTTTTTGAGGCCGTTACCCCCAAATCGGGTTTACTATAAGCAGTTCCCCCCAATTTTCAAAAGCCAATTACCTAATAACTACTGCACTTTTTCCTTTAACGTACAGAAAATGAATACCATATGTAATTACTTTTGATCATGCAAATAAAGAATACCCCATGTTGAGCAATTTTTCAGTAAATCAAAAGGTGATGAATCAACGGCTTCTGGCATATTCCGTTCGGTTTCGGCTAATGCACATCGCAAGTCGTGGAGTGGTGCTCATTGATTCTAAGAACGAGCCCTCTTCTATGAAGCTGTCGCCTTTTATGCACTGAACATAAACAAGTAGCTCGGAACAAGAGGTAACGTCGGTCAGCTCATCTGAGTGCAGTGCAAAGACGACTTTCTTTCATTAAGTACCGCGTCCAAAGTATTCTTGCTCATGCCGTGGATACGAGTTTGATGGTGCTGTTAAAAAGCGATATCACATCTATCTTTTCTGCCTGTTGCTGTACACTAGCAGTTCGTAACCTTTTTGAGGCTGTTACTCACAAATCGGGTATACTATAATTAAACACTCCCAAATTTCCGTTCCAAACGCTAACTAACGAATAACTATCGCGCTTTTTTCTTCGAAGTGCAGGAAGTGATAGCCATTTGGAATTACTCTCGATCAATAAAAAAAGAAAACAGTTCATTTGGTGCAACATTGCAATAGAGCGATATACATCAATGAGACGGTTGATATTGCTTAGCGCTAACAATTTCTGGTATATTTGGTGCAGTTTCGGCTAATGCACATCGTAAGTCGTGCTCCAAGTTCATTCGATTCCTTGCGTTATTTTCATTGTCACCACTGTCGAAAATCCACTTTCAAACCTATGTTGATGCGAACTGCATCAATATTCTCATTGCTCTTTCCGATAGCAATAGATACCACCTATCGGACAAAACGCTAACAGTTGTGTGCCTTGGAAATTTATTTTCATTTCGCTATCTTCGTGCATTCCTAGGAAGTGTGCATTGACTTCGATTTCAGTATCTGGAAACATCCCCACCCACTGAAAGGGGTCTTAGCACTCAGGAGTTTACTTGACGGTTTTTCAAATCAGGAAAATATTTGCTGATAGAATGCACCACTGACGACAAGTAGCAAGTCATACTATCGGTGAATGTGCATTATTCATTTCCTCGAATGAGCACGATTGTTAGTTCTGGAAACATCGACACGTCGTCAACCGTAGCTCTGCGTTGGTAAAGCTGCAATTTGCGAAGAAAACTGGCAACCCTATCCTGAGCAGTTAAAATATTAATCATATTTCCTTGCAAGCTGAGGTTCAGCGCATTTATTTCTCCGAAGAAATCCGCAAGATACTCTAGTTTAGAAATAAATACTTTGTCTGTTATCATGATGTGTAACCCGTTCCCCTTATTCTTATGCAGCTCCTCCCTTTCAGGAAACATTGCATTTCCTTCTCGAAGCTCGACAACGCGGTGCAACTCCCTGCTTCGGGATAACCAACGCAATTCTGTGTGTCAATAACAACACGTCGAATTTGCCTCTAGATTCATTGCACAACTCTTTGAGAACTCTTGTATAGGTCGCACTAACGCGGATGATATTTCCTATTTTCACTACCATGGTTAACGTGTCCAGAAAAGCAGGTGGAAGAGTTTTTATTGCTAAGGCATAATGATGTATGATGCAATGTCTAAAGGTAGCGTACGGAGCAACTTTTTTGACTAATGTTCGCAATCCAGAACGCACGCCTGACACGGATAATGTTCCATGTGTACAGACACCCACCAACGTCGACCACTGTAGATCCTTTTCCTCGACGAAATCCTTCACTGTTCGAAAGACATCTTCGCCATGTAGTTGTGCTCAATGATTCTGAGAACAAGTACTCTTCTTTGAAGCCGTAGCCTTTTATGTACCCAACGTAGACAAGTAGCTGGGAATATGATGCGTCGTCGGTCGACTCACCTAACTGTACTGCGAAGAAAGGACTTGAATTTATTTTGTTGAGCACTGTGTTCAAAATATTCTTGCTCATATCCTCGATACGACTTTTGTTGGTGTTGTTAAACAGTGATACGATACTTATCTTTTCCGCATGTTGGTCTCCAAGAACGAGCTTCACGGCATCCATTATGCAAGTTTTTATGATATCCTCTCCTATAGTATACGGTTTCTTGTTTTTGCTGATTCGAAGAGAGATGCGGTACGAAGCTTCAAGACCAGGTTCAGGTGACTGAAAAATGAAGCCCGGTGTATCCAATCGCGAACCTTTTAGCACAACTTCTTTCCGTTTGAAGAATAGAATATATTTTCCTACAAACTGAGAATGACTTTGTATGAAGTGGTATTTCAAGTTTCTGAGTTCCATGCTCTTTGCCGTAAGCAGTTTGCTGCACAAAACACATGGCGGCTTCTCTACACTTTTATCGGCGAAATTGGTGAAGACCCATTGCAGAAAAGCTTTTTTGTAGGAACGCTATTCCCCAGAAGACATAGTTACTGAAAAATTGGGTAGCTTGGTGTTATATATATATATATATATATATATATATATATATATATATATAGATATTATAGGTTGAATTCGATTTACTAACCGCGTGCTTGCATGCTAAGTCTCTTTATTTCAGGTGGTGGGTTTACAGTGTTTACCTTAATGCTTTTCTTTCTCATATAAATATCTCCCTGTACTCTATTCCATTAACTTGCACACATCGCTTCAGCCAATTGTATTCGATTTCCATAACATTTTTGTGTTCGTGGCATTCCGTGAACTATACTTCCTGACCTCGTGCACTTAGCTAGGATTTGTTTGTAAACAACTTATTACGTATGCTATTTAATTAAGGTTTATGTCACCGTTTCCTTATGCATTAATCGAGTTTTTCTCTTTTTCTCTCTCTCTCTCTCAAGTGATTGGTTGTTGTTTGAAATCCCCGGTGTGGCTGCGCTTGATGTGCATGTTGACAAGGTGCCTACCTGTCTATTACCCACTACCTCGTCCATACTGGCTCCAGGAGACAGTTGGTCGTTGCTGGAGGGGACGGGTGCACGGTCCTTGTGGCCGTGTTAGGCTCGAAGAGTGGTTCCATGCACTCAGTGTGGAGCGGACTACGGTCCAGCCACCGCCTTGTGTGCGCTTGATTCCCCAAATACATCGTGTTTGTGTTTGCCTGTGAAGGAGTGTGGGCCGGCTCCGTTGATGAAACGTGGTTCCCATCCGCATGCCTCCCGGTCTTATTCCTTCGGGTTTACACTGGATATGGGGTGTGTGGTTGGAGCTGTGGGTGGTGCAGCGCAAGCCATCCATCGACCTCTGTAGGCGCAGGCGTCCTGTGGCTTGCCACAGTGACAGGCAAATCCGAAACCGGATGCCGCCCACCATATATATATATATCGTTGACGGCATTTGGTTTCGGACTTCCCTGTCACTGTGGCCAGCCACGGGACGCCTGCACCTACAGAGGGACCATGGATGGCTTGCGCTGCACCACCCACAGCTCCAACCACACACACCCTATCCAGTGTAAACCCGAAGGAATAAGACCGGGAGGCATGCGGATGGGAGCCACGTTTCATCAACGGAGCCGGCCCACACTCCTTCACAGGCAAACACAAACACGATGTATTTGGGGAATCAAGCGCACACAAGGCGGTGGCTGGACCGTAGTCCGCTCCACACTGACTGCATGGAACCACTCCTTGATCCTAACACGGCCACAAGGACTGTGCACCCCGTCCCCTCCAGCAACGACCAACTGTCTCCTAGAGCCAGTATGGACTAGTGGGTAATAGACAAGTAGGCACCTTGTCGACATGCACATCAAGCGCAGCCACACTGAGGATATCAAGCAACAGCCAATCACTTGAGAGAAAGATAATAAATAAAATAGATCGAGTAATGCATAAGGAAAGGGTGACATAATTCTTAAATTAATGAGCATATGAAATAAGTTGTTTACAAACGAATCCGAGATAAG